TAATCTGACGAGGCAAAACTTCGAGATAAAGCTAAGCGGTAGCGCAGTGCCAGTGCCGTATACTCACAAGTCATCACCCGACTTTTATAATATTATATACTTGGCGTCGCGCCGCTACCGCAGCGCTTGATATAACATTTATTTCAGCATTTTATTACATTACATGTACATGCACGCGAGAAGAACGGTTTTGCCGAAGTATTTAAAAATTCATAGCTAGAGAGATACAGATCTGAAAATAATTTTGACGGTGAGTTCAAGCGTTACAAGTAATGCTGCAAAAAGTTTTGACATTTTAGTAACCGCGGCTTGATAGCGTCCTACATAATTATTTTGATGGTCCGACAAAATTATTTTCAGATCCGTATCTAGCTCACTTTTTAAGTACTTCAGCAAAACCGTTCTTTCCGTGTATATACAGCTTTGGTAAATATAAAGCACCCTCAATTAATTGCATTTTCCTGGAAAAAAGCGGTAGTAAAACTCGAAGGAGAACCAGCAAAATATTAAAATTGTTGAACAAAAATAAATATTATTTTCCAATAAAGCTATTTTTTTTAATTTACTCAGCAGATTTATGAATTAGATATTGATAACTAATTATAGGTAATTAACATGTGGACAATTAAAAGGCTAACATTTTAATAAAAATAAAGAAAATAAACTCTAAAATTCATCACTTTAACTTTAGAGTTTATTTTTTTTCCGTTATTGCAAAATGTGAAAAGTTGGCCTACTGTTTTTCAAGCTCTAATATTTATAGATAAATTGGGATTAGATTGGAGAACGTTTACGTCGATTTCGCGGGGGATGCTTTATACTCTTACTGGCCGAGGCTAGGTACATAAATAATTCCGATAATATCCCTCCGAGACGTGTGCGGATATTCCTTCCGGTTAGCGTTAATCGCGCGAGTTCGCGCGCGCGGCGCGAAAGTTTCCGCGGCAAAACCGCGCGGCGGTTACGCGCGGTGGCACCGCGGGCGATTATTGCCGGATGAACGGCCGCGGACGCGCGTGTTTTGTTTGACCGCAACCACCCGTGTGAGTTTCTCGCTCTGCGCCGACTATTTTCGTATCGAAGATACACGGAGGGGTAGGTAGACGACGACGACGACGACGACGACGACGATGACAACGCGAGCGTTTAAACGCGCACTCTCGCCCCGCTCTCGCTTACCGCATCGAAAGTCTCGTCGCAAACAAAGTATCGAGTGTCATAATGCCTATGCAAACAGAAATGAAACGCTATACCCCGAGCGTTAATGGATTTAATTTATCTCGCCCTCCGCCGCCGCCGCTCCCTGTACCCTCTACTCCCGCAGGGGACGAGGATCGGTGTCGCGAGATATATGCGTTATGCATGCGATGCCTGAATTTCGACGAGGGGGTCCAGCTTGGCAATTACACGTTCGCATTTGGCGATGTTAGCACTCTTAGAGGAAAATACATAGTGCTGGCGGCTACGAAAGTGACAACTATACAAGTTTTATATATAGACTTAATGGACATAGTCGAATTAAACTATTTTATAATTATTGCAATTATAAAATGATTTATTCATTTATTACACATTAGTTTATTCAATCATTTTATATTATTGTAGTTATAAAATGGTTCTATTCAACTACATACATTGATTTATTCTCTCAACTATGTACATTTAGATATAAAATTTGTATAAGTGTCATCTTTACAATTGCCATTGTTGTTTCTTTTTTGAGTGAAAGACAAATTCCTGCAGGTAGTCGAAAAAGTGTGAGGTACCAAAAAATTAAAAATAGCAATAAATAAGCAATAAATGATGATACACGAAGCCTTATAAAACGTTGAATTAAAAATTCCAATTCATGATTTAAAAAAAAGCACGAAAGTTTTACGTCTTTTTTGATTGTATATTATATTCCCTTAAAATAAAAATCAAATTTCAACTGTAAAGTATCTCACCGATTTCATATTATTTGTTCCGTATTTCCATCTTGTTTTTCCGTTTTATGAAAGAGAAAGAAAGAGAGAGGGAGAGGAACTCTTCGGGCGCGCGCGATTCTCCTTTCATTAAAGGGGCGCAGGGCGCGACGATAACGAGCTCCGATCGGGCGTCTCTTTAAATACCGCAGGGTGAACCTACCGTGCGAAATAAAATATCGGATGCGCGTTAATCACGCTCAACTGCGCGTACAGCGAATTGACATTTTTCTTTCACATTTTCCCTACACGCTCCGCTCAAAGCGCGCGGCGGAGATAACATGCTCGCGCGTATACTAAATTAGTGACGGCGTACGACGCCGGGGCGAGATCCCGTGACATTTACATTCGCGAATGATCATAGATTTGACATTTCGGATCGCGTCGTCCGTATAGCTTTCTAATATTAAACGCGGCGGAGAAAGACTCCGTAAAACGATACAAATAACGGCACCTGATCGCACGTATAATATAAAGTCGCGCATATATGGATAATAAAAGGAAAAAGAAAAGAGGTCGGGGAGAGCGCGCGTTAAAGTCTTTTGTGTCTACGACGCTATAGAAATCGCTCCGAGATTTCCCTGGACGGGGAAAGAAGGTGACCAATCGGCATTGGCCGAATTATTCAAATCATGTGATTTATTATTAACTCGTTTCTCCGTCCGAGATCTCCGGAGCGATTTCTATAGCACCGTGTTCAAGAGATACGTGTAAGTTATCGGTATGAAAAATCGAAAAGAGGGGGGTTCGAATGACAAATTGGGAGACCCAGGCGGCTTACCTGCGCGGCCATCACTCGCTGCCGTTCGGCGATCAGGGAGCATTTCGGGCACAGGCATTCCCGGTAACGGCACTCCCGCTTGTGACCCCGCAGCCACGAGATGAGGCCGTGGTTCCGGCAACGGGCGCACTTCGGTCTCCGCTGCTTCCCGTCCGTTCCCTCGCTGTTCTCGTTGTTCTCCGACCTGCTCTTGCCCTTGCCGCGAAGCATGGTAGCGTTTCCACACGCCACGCGAAATTGGAGTCGATTGTTCCCCCCTTTTTTTTTCTATTTATTCGACCGTCCACATTTGCCCGGCACGGATCTTGTTGTTTCGGCAAGAATCGTTTCGAAAAAAAAATATTCAACACAATTATTTTATTTATTTACTCACGCACATCTCTGCCGACCGTCCGAGGAGAACTCGAACATCCGCGTTGCAATTTTTCCTCTCGAGATGTACGTATAATAAAATTTCTCTTGGTGAACCGGAGTTAAAAATTAAGTTAAATACCGATTGTAAAAATGTATATTTGTTACATTGACAGTATAATTATTACGAAATTATGTCGACGAGGGGCTAATGGAGCTTTCGAGCGAGAAGCTCTCTGGAAGAGTTCCCCAGAGCGCGAGAACCGCGAGAAAGGAGGATCAAGATTGGCACGTGGCCTTTTCCGCGCGCGCGACTTCTTGGCGATTGTTAATTCGGAACTGCGCGAAAGGAGGGAAAAGACCGGAGCGAGATCCTAATCGCCGGCCCGAGTGATCTCTCTCGCCTCTTCCGGCTTGGCGACGGATCCCGGTTCGATTGGCCGCGGATGTACCGGGACGTTTAGGCTCTTCCGCGCGATTCCGCGGCGTCCCCCCGGAGCGGAGGAGGGTCGAGAAGACAAACAGCGGCTGGACCACCCTTCTTCGGCGATTGGTTCCGTTGTGTTTGCTCTTGTCGCCACTCCTACCGCGAGACGAGGAATCTCGCATCGCGGAGGGTATCTCCGCATCGTTCGCGCGTATCATGGATACACACTCTCGCTGTGGCGTATGATTTTATATCTCATTTTTTTTTGTCCCCTCTTGCGTTACATCGCGACGTGAATACGCGACGCCGCGAATTAAAAGGGAGCTTAATCGGTCGTATGTGTGAATAAAAGCCAAGTAAACGCCCTTATATCGGCGCGGATACATACAATTTTTCGAAAAAGTCAAAAAAATTCTCCGCTCTTCGCCGATGTATTTCATACCAAACACCTCAGCACATTTTTATCGAGGGAGACCAAGTCAGTTGGGGGGCTGCGAGACGCACGAGAAAAATTAATACTTGTTAAATGAAGAGATTGATTACGTCATGATACTTAAATCTCACTTTTACAAGAAAAATGTAATATTGAGAAAATTAAAAAGAGACAATTCCCCTTCCCGTTTTAACTCTAATTGGCATTTGCGGATCCAGTGGATGTGGACATTTCTTTCAATTACGCGCCAAATCTCTGTATTGTGAGAAAAATTGTTTATAACATTAAAAGCTTTTTTTCACAACCTTACATAATTCTAAATTAATTACACAATCTTATCCCTTGGATTTTGACATTTAAAATAAAAAAAACTTGTTCGATTATGTTAACTTTGAGCAAAGATGCATTAATTTAAAGTTTTATCGGATATACTGGGTCTGCAAATAATATTAAGGAAAATTTAGAGCAAATACAAATTACAATTAAAAGAGTATATAATATAATAAAAAATAATAAAAAACTCTTTTGAAGAATGCTAATGATGAAGTCTTCAATTTGGAGTCAGAGTAAATCTTACTAATGTTTTGCATCGAACTGCGTGGATTTCTTTTGCGGAAGTCAAGTGACGAGGACGTGTGATCAGGACAATTCGAGAAAAAAAAAAAACGAGCGGATTGCCAAGAATCAAGATCATTTAATTCTCACGAGTACAGATTCGTAGCTGATTAACGATTCTTCGGTTAATAATGAATGAGCAAATTTGTCGCAATAACAAGCCTATTTACCTCAGCGTGTATTGGTCGCTTATTTAAATAGATAATTAGACACCCTTTGCGCCATTCTCTACGTGCACTCTCGCAATAATTGTGTGGAACGTGTGTATTTAGCGTGTAATAGAGAGTGGGAACGCGCGCCTTCCCCCTTCTCGCCTCACATTCTCGTTATCCTTAACGCGTGAAGGAACTTTTCGCACCTCTCGGGCAAAACGGGCTCGCCCGTTTCTTTCCGGTTCACCGGCCTAAAAACCTTCCGAACCTTTTGGACTCTCTGAACTAAATGACGTCACGAGATCGATAAGGATTGAGAGCCGCGATCTTAAAGTGGAATAACTTCGCGTTCGGAATAAATCCGACTTCGAATCTTAATTAAGCGTTTCGATCGATAATTAAATATGGATAAAATACGAATTGAATTTGGATCGCATAAATGTTTGATGGAAGAGATACGAATGCAAACGAGATCTGAATCTCTCCTCGCTTCGCGTCAGAAAAAGAAAATTCGCACGATCGCAATTCCGGCTGAGCGTTTTTATTTTTCACGCTTTTATTTCTTTCGAGGAGGAACAATATAGATTTTTAAAAATAGAAATCGTATACTTGATAAAATAAAATAGAAATGATTTTTTTTCAATCGCGTCATTCAGTGTTTATATAGTAAAGCAGCTTCCAGGTTCGAAGGGCTTTAAGCTCAGCTTGATTCGTCTGAGATTCGTTCCACACACACGACCTTCCTCTCTACTCGTTCGTGTCTCCTTTACATCTCGTGTCTATTATAACTTTTTAATTACATCTTGTTCGCACGTCTCGGTTTTACATCGGGCTCGCGGCAAGCGAATTTGCAATAAAAAGCGTTGTATGTCGTTTCGTTGCGCGATCAACGGAGATCAAGTTAAAGTTGGCTCTTTAATAAATCATTAATCACTTACAGCAAGCTTAAGCCTAAGCAAATGTGCCGTCGAGGCGAATTCGTATCTTCGAATATACTTCTAAATTGCTGCACGCGAATTCATTTCGGTGAGGGAAGCTATATATGAGTATTCCGCGATACGGATGAACGTCAAAAATGTTCGAAAATATACGCAAATCTTAATTCAAAGGCCTTTGCATTCGAATGCCGCGTATCGAATAAATACGATTTATAGATAAGACATATTAAGTAGAAACGAAAGACGACGTGGCTTCGTCCAAAAAGGAGATTTTCGGCGCGACTACACGAAATGTGTATAACAGCTGATCAAAATTCGCGAGTAATATATACGAATTTCCCTCGACGAACGTAAGTTTAGCAGCAAGAACGATCGTTCAAAATCGGCGATATTTTTGTACAGGAGAGCTCGTTGCATTTGAAAAGCACATGTCAAAAAACTCACCGCCTCCTCGCTCGCCTTGGGTTCACACAAGTCGACGATATTTCCCTTCTTCCTTCCTATTTCTCTCGCCTCTTTTTTTTTTTGATTGGGTTGATATGATTCATTGATATGGTCCGTCGTAAGTTACACTACTTTGTCGTCGTTACTTTGTTATTTGTGCGAAGAGAATTTAGGAGGAGCTTGTCTCGCGCCTGTACAAAACGGCGGCAAGAAATGCGCAACGCACTCGTCGAACGACGCTTCGGGCCGGATTTTCTTTCTATTTTTTTATTTTTTTTTATTTTTTTTTTCATTTGGAAGTACGTATGTTAACTCTATCACGCTGATAATGGAGACCTTTTGCAATCTGTTTTTTTTTCTTTTTGGAATACGCTAAACGCTGGTCTGCCGCGTCAGATCGTGATGGATCATACAAATAAAACGGAGCGAAACCTTTGTTTTCTCGTTAGATTTGCCAACGTTGTCGTCTCTTTTACGGGCGACTTCGAGAGAGGTAAAGCAATATTGTTTTGTACTAAAGGCAAAAATTAGAAAGATCCTCTTCCGCTTTTGTTTTCGTTGCCAGGAGCAATCGCTCCGCTTTTATTGATATGACCCAATATAAGTTAATTAATGTACATATAACATTAATAATTAAAACATATATACAATCATCAGAAATTATTATTTACATAACGGTAATTCTTTTACGACGACATTAATAATAATAATAATAATAATAATAATAATTAACGACGACGGTGTAACGGTTAATAATAAAAAGTCGCAGCGAGGACTCGCGCAGCTCTTTCGGCGTTTACCGTATTCGAGTTTACCGTACCGCAAAACTCCCCGATATAACGCAGCATCAGACTCATCGTTGAAATCGCATTGTGTCAACGAAAGCGCTTTTTTTTTTTAAATATCACTCGAGATCCTTATAACTCTTATACTTCGGCTACTGTCGCGATCGCGATGCGTTGTGTGTTTCGTTTCGTCACCTGATGCGTGTGTATGTGTACGCGTGTATGTGTGTATGCGCGTGTATACGTACGTTTATACACCTGTCCTCGGTCAACACTTCGTCGTTAGCCTCGTCATAATAAGAGAATTCCTAATTTCGATGTACGACGTTACGTACGCCATTTTATGGTGCCTCGATCTCCGCTCGCTTCTCGCGCGAGAGAACTTTTAATTTTCGCGGTTTGATTGCACTGTTAAAGGAGCAAATTTAAACCAATTCCTTGAGTCAAGTAACATTTTGTTATTTTTAACTTCACACGTGTGTCAAAATGTATGTATATTACTCTTGCGGTTAAAAGAACAACCCGCATCTCTAATCGATCCATTTCTGCGTGGTTGAATTGCTTAGTTTCAAAGTGAACAGCGTATGCTGTTTCATATTAACGTGCGCACAAACTAAATTTGAGTCAAATTTAATACATTTCTTAAGTTAAACTGTTTCAGTTAATTAATTTAATAAATTAACGACGTATCGAGTAACAATGGCGACTTATAGAAATGATTAAAAATGACTCAAATTGGTTACAATTCTGACATTGTGAGTTTAATTTACAGTGTGCACAGTTTTATCTGCGAAAAGGAGACGTTTTTCGCGAAAATACGAAGGTATAATTTAAATTTCCAATAGATCGTGAAACGAATAATTGGGAAAGGATCACTGTCGCCGAATCAATTGTTCGTACACCTGCTCGCGCGAATTGATAATTTCGCTCGGCGATTTGATCGCGAAATCCGCGTATTCGGTGGAAACGAACGCAAAGAAAACGGAAAGTCTCGCGGAGACGCGAAGAGCCCATTCCCCGGCGTGGACGCGAAAACGCGGGGATGCGCACGTATATATCATCTCCCTCGAAACACCAAATTGGCCCCAGAAATTAAGAGGATACCGTGTCCGTGTTTAAGTATACGTTCACCCGCTCCTCATTAACATGCCCTTACCCTCCCACTAATTTCTTCCTACTTTTCTTCCCGCTGCCTTCGAAACTCGACTTCGTGATATCTCTCTATCCCT